GAAGAAAATGAATTAGAAAAGTTAAGAAGAGAGAATAGGGAGTTGAGAGATGTAATTGATGAACAAAGAGAAAATATGGTTGATGTAGTTGGAATAAAGTGGGAATGGGAATCAAAGTATAATAAGTTGAGAGAGGAGAAGGATAGGTTAAGGGCTCGAGTAGTTAATTTAGAAGAGGAGGTTAGAAGAGGAAGAAGTAATAATGATAATAATAATAATGGAGAAGGTAGTAGTAGTAGGGAAAGGATGGTAGGGTTTGGGTTTTTCGAAGGGAGATAATGTAAATAAAATTTAAGTAAATCAAATAAATAAAATTTTGTTGTTGAAATAAATTCTGAGTTTAAGTATTATAAATATCAAAGGAAAGTTATATTTATAACACCATGTTATATAACACCTAATCACGTGATATCAGATAAAACAAAATTAGCTAATAGTATATCAAAATTTAAAATAATATAAAATATTAAATCTAAATCGCATTTTTTACAATATATTAATATAAATTAATAACTATAATTATAATTTTTGTTAACCTCGTTTTATCAATTTTTTCAAACAAATAAATTGCTTATTACTTATCTTCTCATTTCAAAAATACTTTTTTTTTTTAACTTTAAAGCTAGACACTAGCTATAACTGGATTTAATCATTAAGTTCAGATCTAATGAGATATAAGCTCTGTTCAATTTGACATCTCCTTTTAGAAATTATTACTATATTAGGCTATCTAACAGCTAAAATTGAACAGAGCAATAAATGATAAAAATCCGGATATTATCTCCAAATGCAGCATTAAAACACAATAGAATCTTAAATAAATTTTTGCGCCATATATCTGCGTTACACATAGGGCAAAGTAAATATGCATACAGGATACAAAAAAAAACAAATATGCATATTGAACAAAAGCGTTAGTTTATTACAACAAAGTTAGTATGCATAAACATACACACATGCGATTGTTAAAGTTGAATGCATATAAAAATAATACCCAAAGGAAATGTAGTCCATACAATTTGATATGCAATTAAAACCATTCAAAAACAAATGATGCCGTATATTAACTAAAATCTAAACAAATTAACTAATATAGTCGTAACTTAATATATTTGCGTCTTTTTCCTTATGACCATGCTTACCAACTATAGTAGTGCCTAAAAAAATACATGAATTAAATGTTATGATCATACATAAGTAAAATTGATATCTTCTGACAAATATACACTACATATTGATACTACAGTATTCTATTTTCTCCAGGTTGTTTTTGTGGGCATGTGTTTTGATAATGGTTAGGTTCGTGGCAAAATCCACAAACTCTTGGTTTCGATGTAGATTTTTTTTTTTCACCTGATAATTTTCTTGTTCACCTTTAATACGCTTTTTGCGTGGTGCTTCTTTACCAACATAATATGCAGGATCTGCAACATTTTCAATAGAAACTAGTTTTTCATTATTAATTTGTATAGATGGAACATCAAAATTTTGATACTTCTTAAGAATTTGAAGTTCCCTTTGTTGTGTTTGTCTTTCACATTCAAGTTTTTTCTTCTCAATATAGTTTCTTAAGAAACTTTCTAACTCATAATCATTTTCATCGTCATCTTGTAAAGTGATAGCTTGTTTTGCGAGGCTCATAGTTTTAACAAATCGAAGTTTCTTTTCTACATGCACTTGAAACTTGTTTTCTCAACAACCTTTCATACTCCGCATCTCTCATCCAACTCCTCAAAACATTCTCAACAATAACCTCCTGTTACTCTTCTACCCTTTCTTCTAAGGCACGAACTCTTCCCTCGAACCTCTTTACCAAAACTTATTAATAGAAATTT